TTTCACATTTCATCGAGTTGTGTGCTCTTGGAATTTCCTCCTGGTCGATGTTTTCCAGTTTCAAGGTTTCTGGCCCCGGTTTTCACCAAACTTGTTTTGGGCATAACTTTCTGCTCGGGACTCAGTTTTTGACGCCATTTCTTCCATTGTTCATATTTTATCATTTTAAATCTTTTTTGTTCACAAAGTTTTGCCATTTGAGTGCGTCTGCTCAAATTTTACTTTTTCGGACCCGGCGGGGCCCGTTCGGGGCACTTTTTGAGATTTCTATAAAAAAGGGGGTGAGATATTTCATTTTTGATCTTCTCCCCTCTTCATGCACGACCTAGAGCTCCCATGGAAGCCTAAGGGGTGCTGCCATCTTCTCTCTCCTCTTTTGGTTCACTTTTCCTTGATGGTAAGTCTTCGGCATTAACGTTTGTTGTTCCCCTCACCGTGCTCTACCTTTCCCCCTTATTAGAATTCAGTTTTGACCATTTCTTGAGTTTGGTTTTGAGGTCAAGTTATGATTTTGATGGGGCTTTCATGGGGGTTATGTTCACGGCGTTGTCCCCGACAAAACCTAGTAGTTTCGTCGGATACGGAGCTGTTCCATTTTGATGGCATTTGAGATTTTCATCTCAAATTGTGGTAAGAGATGTTTTAGGTTTAAATTCTTGTTATATAGCATGCTTGTGATGCTTATACTACTTGTTTGCATGATTAAATATAAAATCTAGAGATTTTATTATTTATTTTTCTTGTACGGGATCTAATTTTCCCGGTTGCTCATGACTTGGTTTAAACATGTAGCATGATTTTATATTGCCCCTTGATATGCTCATTGTCGTGTATTAAAATTGGAACATTTGAATAACTATTAAAGATTTTATTTAATATTTATCTTAGGTGAAAGATTAATTCACATGGCCTTAACTAGCTTAAAATTAATATGTGTTAGCATATTAAATTAGGCCTTTGCATGCTCTCCAACATAGTTGAATTTGAAAGTAATTGGAGGTTTTTTGAAAATTAGTAATTATTAATTAATTTGCTCCGAGTGCACTATTCACTCCATTTAAATTCCGACTTGATATTCTTGACTTACATGTTATATAGCTTCACATATGTTTGATTTAGAATATTCGGTTAGGTTTTCAAACCTTTCATTTAATTAAATTCCTTGTTTAAGATTTAATCCTCATGGTGATATACAACTTGGAATTGAATTGTGGCATGCTAGAAAATTAAGCTTTGGTGTGGTTGTTCACATATATTAAATTGGGATTAATTGCATGAGAATTGCAACTTTTAATTTATATTTAACTTTAGTGAAAGGTTAAGTCACATGGTCTTAAATTGAATGAAATAAACTTGTAATGTGATATTACATTAGTCCTTGACATATTCTTTAAGATATGTTAAATTGAGAGCATTTGGTTAAGTTTGAAAATCTAGAAATTTTAATTAAAAGAATTAATTAAAATCTATTTTGTGGTCCCATTAGCTTATTTAAGATTTTAACTTGATATTTGTATTGGCCATGACTTGTTTACTAGTATATATTAATTGTGGACCATTTGAAGTTGCTTTAGAACCTTGGTAATTAAATTAGCATGATTTAATTAGAGTTCTACTTTGTTGTTCCATTAACCTAATTGAGTTTTAGAATGGATATAGGTGATGACCATGCCATGTTCTTTAATATGTATTAATTTGAGATTATTTGGAATTGAATTAGAATCTAAGGGATTTAATTATTTTTATTTAATTAAATTCTATCGAATTGAGCCATGGATTTAATTGTGTTTGAAAGTCGTTTCTATATCAAAATCATGGACTTGGACTTGTTGTATATTCATTTGGTTATGTTTTGAACATTAGATAACATAGTTGCTATGTTTGTATTCATGAGAATATGTTTTCCTTATTGAATATATTGTTGCCTTGTGTAATGATTTGTATACTTCGTGTTTAACATCTTTCATGCATAGCGTGTAACGAATCGCACACTGAAGATTCAACATTCATCATATCATATTAGTTGTGGATTTAGAGCATGTATTGTATAGGTTTCCAAATTTGGTTGTGCTTAGTAGATAGTTGATTATCTTGCATATTCCTGTTGATATATGCGTTGTTGCACAACTTGTTGATTTTGGAAACTTGGGGGTGTCGTTGTTTGACTATGGCTAGGACGTGGTTCTAGTACGGGGGATAGTCCCTCTATATATAGTCTAGTGCGCACATAGGGAGGTTACCCATGGGCTAGTAACCCTAAAGTAACTATGTTGTCGGTCTGATCCGGCGTGACGTCCGAGTATCCACTTTGTTTGATTTCGCATTTCATTTCAAGTTGATAACTAGATAATGTTGTAACTTGTTGTTTCTTATTTGTCGTTCCATTTTAAGTTACAGGATGTTAACTTTGCGAAATTATGCTTTATGCGTTGTATTGGAAGTTCCAATGTTGGTTAAATTGCATCGATATTGAAAATTGTGTTTTAACGTTCTAATAAAGCTTAGGATTGATCCTATTGATTCATTTATAACATAGACGTTAGGTGGCATGAACCACTACTGTTATTTTGTGCTTTAGATTCTAAGTTGATGGCTTTGAGAACTTAAACCTTGTTGCATTGTATAACATGCTCTTTTGTTGTTGAATTGCATGGATAATGTGATTCTTGTTAACTTGTATTCAAATATGCTTTTGTCATGTTGTATGGATTACTCTAGACCTAGTTCAATTGTATTGAAAATGCAATTCATGTTAATCTATGCTCAAGCATTCTTCTTGTCGTGTTCTTTGGATTATCCCAACCATTATTCGTTTCATACACGTATGTATATCATGATTCTTGTTGCTTAGACTCTAAGGTAGATTAGGATGCTCCCCGAGTCTCGCTTGGACATAGACGTTAGGTGGCATGAGCCCCTTTAACATGTTTCACCTTAAGGTGATAAATTTGTAAAATGCTTGGTCGATGCATGCTCATCTCCTACGAGTAGCTTTATGTTACTCACCCCTACGATACTAGGGCATATTTCAGGTACGAAGATTTGGTTCGTGAAGCCTAGCATTCCTTGGATGTCGTGTAGCTTTCAAGTTTCCATTTCATGCAAATCATAGCATGAAATGTCATTTTGTAAACTTATATGTCAAAATATGTATATTTGATTCCATGTATGTAATGTGTACTTAAGTATACTCCTTTCAATGTATTTGATATGTATGAGATGAGACCGGAGGCCAATGACATGTGTATTGTATTTTATACAACTTTTTAACTTCATGAAATATTATGAAAACCTTAAAAAATCGCAAGTCATTGCTTCACCATGGTTGCATCGGGTGTGGGAATTCCATTTTCATTTTTTCATAGGGTCTTATTAATCTTGTATGAAGTGTGGCCAAGGGCTAAACGGTCATTTGATCCCGTTTTACATTTTTGGATTCCATGTTTTCCATTCCAAGTCCATTTTTGCCTTTTTGCTCGTTGGGGGGTCGGATTTTGCATCAGCTATATTTTTAAGCCATGGACCATTGTAGCGCGTCTAAATAGGTAAGTTACGTTTGCGTGCATAGTCGTTTCCGGGCAAAACCTCATCATTTGTGTTTTGAGCCTCTTGTGAATTCATTTCGCATTTTTTTTGCATATTCTGATCTAGGGGCATTATGGACCTTTCACCTTAGTTTTATTTTCTTCTTTCAATATGGTCGTTAGAAAACGTGATTTTAGGGGGGGTTTCTTTTTCGTGTTTTTCCAGAAAATGTCGTCTTGGTACCGGAAATCCCTCGTGAAGTTTCAGCTTCCAGTTTTCATTTAGCAACTTTATGACCCTCTTGTTCAGTTATGATCTAGGGCCATTTTGGGGATTTCACAGTGAGTTTTTTTCGATTCCGTTTGTGCTGTCGGGTAGAAAACTCAATTTTAGGGGGAGTTTCTTCTTCGTGTTTTTCCATAAAAACTCGTCTTGACCTCCGTTTCAAGCCTCAATTCTGGACAGATCAAAAAAAATGTAGCAGCAGCCAAGGGCTGCCACCAGCCATGTCCTTGGGCGCCGGTATGCACGCCGGTGGGCTCGCGCATGGGCACCGTGTGCGCCATGGCGCCTTGTCGGGCCGCCACGACGTCAATTCTTTTTTTGGGCTTTTCTCCTTCGTCCGGACTCTGATTCAAGTGAATTTTTTTTTTGAACTTGACTAATTTTTCGCCGTCTTTCCAACGGTGTGCTCGGTTGCACCCGGTTCTTCTTGGATAATTACCAGTTTACCCTTTTTGCTTTAAGTACTCGTTTTTCTTCGTCATGCCATTTCTCCTTCGTTCGGACTCCGAATCATGCGATTCTTGAGTCTATCTTGATTAGTTTTTCGTTGTCCTTCCAGCGGTGTGCTCGGTGGCACCCGAATCTATAGTTTTTAGAAATGACTATTTTGCCCCTGGGGGCTTATTTGTCATATTTTCGATCTTTTGCTTCCGCATCAGTTCTTGTTGAGTTCCACGACCTCATGGAAGGTCACTTTGACTTCTTAGAGTCTTGTTTTCTGTTTTTGCTTCCGCATTCGGATCCATTATCGGATCATCCTTATGGTTCATCACAGGACACGCTGGCCTAAAAACCAGGGTCGTCACAATTATGGCAAACTAAGGGTATGTGTGGATTTCTGAAATATAAATCTTGCAACTCCAAAAAATGGGTACCCTATGCCTATTGCTAACCAATTGGTAGATTCTGCTGCTAAGAATGAGATTTTTTCATTCATGGATGGATATTCCGGGTACAACCAGATTTATATTGCAGTGGAAGATATTGCTAAGACGACTTTCAGATATTCAAGATCCATTGGAACCTTTGAATGGGTTGTCATGCCATTTGGGTTGAAGAACGCTGGGGCAACATATTAGAGGGCTATGAATGCCATTTTCCATGACATGATTGGCCATTTCATGGAAGTATACATTGATGATGTAGTTATCAAGTCCTTGACCAAGGTTTAACAACTCCATAATCTGAAGATGGCTTTTGAAAGAATGAGGCAGCATGAGTTGAAGATAAATCCCTTTAAGTGCGCCTTTGGAGTTTCAGCTACAAACTTCCTAGGTTTTTGTGTACACCAAAGAAGGATTAAAATAGACCAAAACAAAACAAAGGCCATTATTGAAGCAAAGTCACCGGCCACTAAGAAAGAGCTACAAAGATTTCTTGGCCTGGTTGGATATTTGAGGCGGTTTATTGCAAACCATGTTGGAAAGACTCATGCTTTCTCCCCATTATTGAAATTGAAAAGAGTTGAAGAATTCAAGTGGACGAAGCAGCACCAGCAAGCCTTTGAAGGGCTGAAAAGCTACCTGACTAACCCTCTAGTAATGATGCCTCTAATAAAAAAGCGGCCTTTAAAGTTATACTTATCGGCTGTTGATGAATCAATTGGAACTCTTCTAACCCAGAACAATGAATGGGGAAAGGAGCAAGCTATTTATTATCTAGGTACATATTGGAAAGGCGGTTAAAGGGAAGGCAGTGACAGAATTTCTAGCAGATCATCTTTCTACCAAGATTAATTCAGAAGTATGTGACGAGGTGGATAATCTCTACCTTGACTATACACCTTGGACTCTCATGTTTGATGGATCAGGCAATCACGGTGGAGGAGGAATTGGAATAGTCATCGTTTCACCAAAAGGAAGGAAAACCACATTTTTTTTCTTCTTAGACTTCAAGTATACAAATAACCAAGCCGAGTATGAAGCACTAATCATCAAGTTGGAAATCTTGCTAGAACTAAAGGTGGATAAGGTACAGATTATTGGAGATTCCAACTTAATACTTAGCCAACTTTTTGAGGAGTATAAATGTCTCAACTAGCATCTGAGGCCTTTCCATTCATTGGCCTTGGAATTACTATGCCAGTTTAATGATTTCCAGCTCCGATATTGGCCAAGACATTTGAACACGGAGGCTAATGATCTAGCCCAATTAGCTTCTCAAGTAAAAGTCCCACTAGGTGTAGAAGAAACTGATCAAAATCAAAAGAAGGACTCTTTCTTTTGTAGAGTTACGGCATGAGATGGCAAGTCCTTTCCAAGCTGATGAGCCAGAAAAAAACAAACCTGGTAAGAAGACATGGGAGATTTTCAATGTTGATATAGATGGATTAGACTTGGATGATTGGAGAACACCAATTATTCATTTCTTACAGGATCCTAGTGCCAATGTAGACAAAAGAGTACAGCTTGTGGCACCACATTATATTCTGATTGATGGAGATCTCTACAAAAAGAACAAAGAAGATGGACTCTTGCTAAGGTGTCTGGGCCGGAACGAGTCCATGAGAGTGATGGCAGAATCACACCTTGGAATATATGGAGCTCATCAAGCCGGAATCAGAGATAGCTTCTTAAAAGGTACAGTTATTATTGGAAAAACATATTGAAAGATTGCATAGAGTTTGCAAAGACTTGCGTTGCATGTCAAGAATATGGCCCGGTCTAAAGAGTTCTAACTATAAACATGCGGTCGATAGTGAAAATATAGCCATTTAGAGGTTGGACTTTGGATTTCATTGGAAAGTTAAGACCTCTATCCGCATTCAGTGATATGATTATGATAATTTTAAAATCTTAATGTGAGGCACTGGAAAACATGTCAGCTACTTAAAATCATGCCAGAATTTCATTCAATTGTTGTGATAAAAAAAAAAAAAAAAAAAAACCTTAATAAAAATCCCAAGAAGATGAAACCGTATCCGTATTAATTATCTCTAAAAAGATTTTCTATCATACCAGAAACTTCTAGCATGCAACGAATTGTGTCTGTATTCTCCTGAGTCTCCACGCCTCATACCCCGGCGCTGACCAGTAACACGTGTGGTTTTTCCCATTCAAATCCATTTTTGATATATTTACGTATTTATATTCAAAGAGCTCGTGTTATGCTAGCCAATCTCCGTTATATAGCGATGTCATCCCATTCATTCTCTACTGTTTCCCAAATATAAGATTATTCTTGGTAACACTTACCTTCGAGTAAATATGATATGAACTGCATTCATCATATATGATATGAACTGCATTCAGATACTTTAACATTGCATTTCTTCGTTAAATATGTAATAAATTGTATTATTGTGTGGAATGACAGCTGAAGGCTAAATATGACGGGTCTTTTGTGTTCACAATGACGACGTCAGCAAATCACGAGGAGGAAGTGGATAGGTTGGCACAGAATCTCTCTCCAAATGCCAACAAGATATACCAAATATCGGGAACACAGAAGTTTGAGCTGCCGAAACATGAAGTGAGAGTGGCAGATGTTTTCTAAGCAGTTAAGAATGCAAAGAGGAGGTTCACAGTTTATGCATGGGGTCTGGCTGACACCACTTTAGAGTTCATCAAGGTCGCTCGCGGGGCTCAGGCATTCCACGTTTTTTTGTGATTGCATGGTTCGCAGTATCGGTCACAGTCGCGGTATAACCGACTCGGACAAAGTCAGTGTAAACTGGTCGATACAGGTCGCGTATTGAACTTGAAAAAAGGTCACGTATCGAACGATACGGCAAACCATGAGTGATTGTAGGATAGCACCTGCAACATATAATATGTGCATATAATAACATTTGAAAATATGAGCAAATTGAAATTGACAAAATGTGCTTGGTTGCTCAATTTAAAAAAATGTAGGGATTTTTTTGGAACAGTACATTTTGTTTATAACATGATTTTCTATTTTTTTTCTTTCTTGGTGCACTTTACCCTAAAATAAATGTATTATTCCAATTTTGCCCTTTTAACATGCTCAAAATGTCCCTCTTGCCATGGTTATACATTAATACCAAATTTTAACCACTCTCCTTAAAAACAATTGTATGTTTCTCTCTCTCCCTCACAAAAGTAGTTTATATATCTCTCACAAAAGCAAACACAATCCATTATAAAAAATTTGCTCGTCTCTGAAGGTCCCCTATTTCATCCATTATGTATCACCTCTAACCCATGTATGGTTGAAACTATATTTGGATTGAATAGCTTCTTTTTTTTTTTCAAAATCACAAAGAGCTTTATCCTTTCTTTTGTAATTTAAATATTGAATAATTGAAGTAAAAAGGATAAACGTGGTTTATCTTCTTATATTGATACAAGGGTGTTTTTGTCTTTTTGAACAGAAAAGTGAGTTATTTGAGTAGTTTTATAACTTTGGTGGGGTGTGTGTTATTTTTTATTTTATGTTATTATATTGATACAAGGGTATTATTTACTTTCCCTAATAATGTGATGTGATTTTCCTTTCTTTCATTCATTTTTTATTTTTTTATTTTTTTATTTTTTATTTTTTATTTATTTATTTTTTTGGGTAATTTGCACACACCTCTCAAGTTTGCAAACTTGAACAACACCCCCCCTCCAATCATGATAAGAGTACGTAATTGCCTTTTTAGCTTTTGAATTGACCCATTTAAATTATTAAAGTACAATATTAACCTTTATAGGTCCTTTTATTTTACCAAAATGACCCTTAGCCAAAATAAAATAAACTCCACCACTATGGCTGCCAATGCCATATGCATACGAACAGGGGCGGACCCAAGAATTTTTAATTGGCAGAGCCAAACTAGTAATGTAAAATTAAAATTTTAAAATGTCATAAAATCATTATAAGAATTTTTTTTGTGCAAGTTTAATGTATATTGTTAAAATGTGTCTATAAATAATATGCAATAAAATTGAAGAGAAAAGTTGTCGATTGAATCATTGTTGTTGTCAAGTGAATAAAAAAATTTTCTTTCTAATTTACAACAAATAATATTTATGTATGTGTGGAATATATGTGTGCGTAAATAGAGTATGTTGTTATAAGGATTACCATAATAATTAATAATTTTTTTTTTCACTAAATTTGATCTTTTATAGTAAGAGGTTTATTGGAATTTGAAGGGGTTAAAAGTAATTTTATTATTAACCTATATTTAATATCAGGGAACCATATAGATTTAAAAAAAAAAAAAAAAAAAACTAGAGAGATCAACTTTAATTTTTATATAGAAAACAACTATTAGTATCTATGATTTAGTACCATTAATAGAGTGTTACAAAAAAATTGAGGGGACCAACTTTAATTTTTATGTAAAACATTACCATAAATAATTTTAATTTAATGCTATAATAAGGTTTTGCAAAAAAAAATTGCGAGGCCATGGTGGAGTGCTTTTTTTTTTTTTTTTTTTTTTGGACAAGGGCAATTTTGGTCAAATCAAAGGATTTGTAAAAGGTTAATATTGTACTTTCATGATTTAAATGGGCCAATTTAGAAGTCAAACGGCAATTACGTACTCTTATCATGGCTAGGGGTGGTGTTGTTCAAGTTTGCAAACTTGAGAGGACAATTGGATCACACTCTTCCTAAATTGTATCTACCTGTCTTTATTACAAATCTGAAATGGTGTGAGTGCAAATTACCCTTCTTTTTTTTTTTCTTTTTTTTTTTTACTATTATTAAAAATATATATATATAAAGAGCAAATTGCATAAAATCCCTCTTTACTTTTAATTTTTAAAAGTAAGACACTTTTGATTAAAATATTATTATGCAATTGTATACTTATTACTTATTACTAGCCAAAAAAAAAGAGACCATATTAGCTTTAAAATGAAGCAGATCATCCTATATTTAAGTACCGCATCTGGAGTATATTAACTAATACTATAGAAAGTGAGAGCGCTTGTAAGTCGAATACCCTATTTTTATTTGTGAAATTCCTTTTGTTTTCTTGTGGATTTGAACATGTCAATTTTATATAATATCATTTGAAAATTGGTTTACATATTGTAGACTCGGATTCTTTAATCTTAGTAAAAGTTAATAAAATATCAAATAGCATATGTGATGAATCTCATCAAATATGCGTGGTTTACTATGATTGCGAAGCCCAACACTACTCTACACCTTACAAAACGTTCCCAGATCTAACTCACTTCAATTTTATACACTGTACTCTAAGATTATTTATTAATTATGTGACCCACATGTTTTGGACGTGTGATATATTTCATTAATTAGTGGTTTAGTAAATAGGTATCAGATTAATATTATATTATTTGGTTGACTTTTAAGTTACCTTTATGGTAATTAATTATTTATTGGAAGAGTGTTTTCCTATTTATTCTTTATTTTGATGGAAAGTGAAATTAAAGTTATTAAAAGTAAAACTGGTCCTTTCTCTACCTTTATAAAAATGCATATTCCCATCAGTTATGTATGCGAATGAAAACAACACGTATAATGTTTATGTGTGCAAAAGGTCAAGAGAGAGAAATCAGTTTTCACACGTTTTGGCTATTATTTGTACTTGCAGTTTATCACGTTGTTCTTCGGCAAAAAGGATCTCGATGTTTGGCTTGATCTCAACAAGATTTACAATTACAGATCGAAGTATTTATATCTAATTATTTTATTTATACATTATAGCAATGTAAAGATAATGAAGTTCTAAGATCTTAGGATTCATGTTTATTTG